GGCCGCCGCAGTAGCCGATGATGAAACGCTTTCTTCCTCCTCCCTCTCTTCCTCGGTGTCAAAGGAGCTGCGAGCCCCCGCCCCCTCCGCTTCCTCAGACAGGTGTCCTGGGCCGCAGGCTTCAGCGCTGCGGGAGCCCAGCAGACTCTGGGTGCCCCAGGGCTCGACCTGACTGGGACCTGCCAGGCTTGACCCGCACAGGAAGTGGTCCCGCCTGCTGGGAGCGGGGAGGAGGGAGGCACCCCCGGGAGGGGAGATAGTGGTTGGAGGGGGCAGTGGGCTGCAGACAAAGGTGGACGCGGAGGAACCCGCGGGCGGGTGACCGGAGGGGACTGGGAAGGGGTGGGCAGGGCAGGGCTGGGGTACAAGGGCTGGGATAGGAAGGGGTTGGATGGGGTCCGAAGGACACTGAGGACAGCGGGAGCCAGCAAGTGGAAGGGATCCAGGGTTCCTGGAGCGGAGGTAAGCCCGGCACCCCGCCCGACGCACTCGGGGAGATTTACAGAGCCGGTCTCTGCTTGTTTGCACTCGCCTCAGCAAACCTGGGCCCTCAGTTCCGGTGATGGCTCTGAGACTCGCCGAGGCTCTGTTTGTGCTGAAAACTGATTTATATTTAAACTGCTCTTAACGCTGGAGAAGGGACGGTAACAAGGTGGAGAGTGGGGGCTGCCTCGGGCTGGGCCCAAACTGTCTGGACTTGGGCCAAGGTAAACTGCATGCGCTGTCAAGTGTCAGTGAGGCTGAGGCTGGCCTGGAGTGCTGCAGGGGGCAGTAGGGTGGGGCATTGGACGAGCTGGACGCACCCCACTGACCTGTTTCTAAACCTGGGCAGAGCAGTGTGTTTGTTTTTCCCCAAGCTTTTTTACCACCAGGACTGCAAGCTCCGAACTCCCAGAAGAGAAAGAAGGTGCAGCTTTCCCAGAGAAGGCCAGAAATGTTCTGCCAGAAGCAGCTGCTGTGAAGAATCCAGGGCAGGACCCATCCTCCAGCTTCTTAATTTCTGTCACCCCATGCATAGTTGACCCCTCCGAGGCCGTTCAGCAGAGGAAAATATGCCTCTCAATACCCAGAAAGCTTCAACTAAAACAGAGGCCACTGGGTGGATGAACTGCGTAGGGTTCTTATTTCTCCCCAGGTCCTGATGGCTTTCTTGGCCTGAACCGACCTGCCTATGTCCAGGGGCTTTCTCCTGTCTACCTACATCCCAAGGACCTGGGCCCAGCAGCATTCAGAGGCTGTGGGACAGTGAGCGGCTGCCATTGACCACTCGTCTTCAGAGAAAGGTGCATACAGAAGGGCTTTGTAGAACCCCACAGCAGCCATGGACCCAGAGCATGCATCAACTTTAGCTCACTGTTCCATCCACTTAGAGGAGCCACAGCAGAGTACTTGCTGCATCTGCTCACTGACTGCAGCACATGTGGTGGACTGCGCTAGCTGCTCTACAGTGCACTCACGAGCATCATCCCATATAACTCCAACATACATTAGGTGATCAGTACTATTACAGTCTGGGCTTTATAGACTAGGATGCTACAGAGGCCAATTAAAAATTGGTTGAATACCATACAACAAGTATGTGGTGGTGCTTGGCCCTGAACTGAGCTCTGCCTGACTCCAAAGCCCAGACTTGAAGTATCTGAAAAGTCATCCAGTCTAGCAGCCTCATTTCACGTGAGGAACCAAGTCGGGACCAAAGAATGCCCAGGCCAAGCTCACAGGCACCTTAGGGGCACCATGGCTGGAGCTTCCTCAACACCTGGTCTTAAAGTGGCCCTCTAGAAGAATCCCAGGGATGCCCAACCTCTCCACTCTTCCTGCTCTGCTAACCTTGCCCTTTGCCTGCCTTTGAGGCCAGCATCATCTCCAGAGGAAGGCCTAATCAGAAATACTATCATATGGAGTTCAACAAAATTTAATGGAGATCCAGCCAAAGTGATTTATAATAAGAGGTCTGCTAGTACGTGGTGCATGGGTTGAGACCAAGGCCCCTTCAGGATTTCTTAGTGTGTGACTTTCATACCCATGGATGGCTCTCTGTCACAAAATGTACACCTCCAGCCTCCTCTCCTATCCCAGGAAAGAAGTGGAAGATTAGAAGGGGCCAGTCTAACATAAAGAAAGAAAATCATCCCTACATATCCAGCTGTTCTTCCTTAAGTTTTATTTTCCACCACTTAGTCACATGGTTACCTGATACATGAATGTCCTCTCCTGAATATATTCAGATTTAACATGCTTGAACAAAATTAAATTTCTGTTAGGGAAAGGAGAAGAAAGGGTATTGTATCTTCAACTTTCAGTGTCTGCACATAAAGAAATGCATTTTCTTAAAAGGACACCCCTAGTGTCTGTTTCCCAAACTTCCCATCCTTCTGTTTTAGCAAATATTTCCTAGCATTGGAAAAGAAATAAAAAAAAAGAGCATCTTCTGGCTTCAAAACTTCTCTGGTCTTAGGGAGGGGAGATGAGAAAGCATCGGAGTGGTATAGAGAGCTACTGTGCACAGCCCATACAGGAGGACAGAAAAGGGACCCCAACTCACCTGCAATAGTGGGGAGGCTTCTTGGAGGAGGTGACTGTCCAGTGTAGCTAGAGAAAGATGCTGAACATGGAGGAGCAGGCTAAGAATGAAAGCCTCAGTCTGGGCACAGATGGGGAGCCATGCTGAAAAGCAGCTGACCTGGGCTGATCTGCATTTCCCACGGTCTCTCTGATAACCAGAGAAGAGAGGAGTGGGGAAGTCTGTGGAAGGAGTACCAGGTGCTGTGATGCAAGCCTGGGAGGTGGGTGGAAGGCCAAGAAATAAAGGATGGAGAAAGCATTCATGTGGAAGTGAGAGAGACATTGGTGACAACTCCTAGGATCTGGCCTGTGCAACCAGCATGCCCACGCCTGACACAGGGTACCCCAGAAGGATCTGTAGCAGGTGGTGGTCCCAAGAGGCTTGTTTTGAATTCAAACAGCCTGAACTGTAGTCAGGTAAGATGTGCAACAGGAAGATGGTTAGATAGGTCCAATAACCAGGGTAGACCCTGGCTTGGTGATCCCATATGGGGGTGGTGGCTAAGCCTTGGGAAGGGAGCGAGTCTCCCGGTGAGAATGTGTTGAGAAGTAGGTCCATGATGGGCCCAGAAACATCAGGGGTTGCCCAGGGGTTGGAGGGAATAAACCAGGGGAGGGTTCCTAGAACATAGAGGTAGAGTTTCTAAAAGGAAGAACAGGAGGTTACCCAGGTTGCAGAGAGGGAAGATAAGACTTGAGGAGTAGCTGCTGGGGGTGCGCAAAGTCTAGCATTGAGGACCTTGGCAAAACTGTTTCTAGTTGGTGATGTGGGAATGGGACAGATTCTATGAACTGAGGAGAAGCTGGGAAGAAGAAACAGTATATTTCTGCCTTTATTATCACAGGTCACACAGATAACATGTATGGTGGCTAACGGCACAGACCCGGTAGTCTGACAAAGATGCCGCCTTCCCTTCACACCATCTGTGTTCCTTTAGATAGCTGGCTTCACTGCCAGGACCCTCAGTGCCTACTTTGAGGTGCAGGTACTTGGAGTTGTTATAAAGTGTGTATAAGATGATAGACACACTGGGTGCCTGGGACCTGGAGAGGGCCAGGGCCAGCTAGTCACTGTTGCTACAGTGGTTGGTGTCCTTGCTGTTAGTAAACTGCATTTGGTGCCTTTTCCTCCAGCTCAGCTGTGAGCTCCTAGAGGATGAAGCTTCTGTGTCAATTTTCTTTGTTTCCCCAGTTCGGCCTTGTTGTTTTAAAATGTTTTATATGGAACAAAGGAGAAATGGGTTCCCAAAAGACTCCCAAGACTGGGGAAGACCTCATTGCTCCTGATGACTAAGCCATTGCTCTCAGTCAAAACCTATCCCCAGAAGGCTCTGGTTGTTCCAGGTGCTTAGCCTTGTCTGCTTTCACTGGTGTCTGGCCACAGACTTGATGGGTCTGTCTGTCTACAAGCTACATTGCCTACTCCGCAGCAGCTGATAAAGGAGCTTTGGGAAATTTGGACTCCCAAATGTGACTGCGTTAACTCTGGTCACCTGGCTCACTGAGAGCCAGCTACCAGCAGGTATAGAGGTCAGGGAGTTCCTTGATGAGTGCCTGAACCCTAGTTGGAGGGCCAAAAGCTCCCTGTCTTTGTCACTGTCTTCAATAGGATAGTTTGCTTCCCTTCTTGGCCACCCTGGACACTTTTACATTTTTATTTGACAAATACATGGTGATAGCAGTCTTTGCTGGGTACTGGTATATTAATTAATTCAATCTGCAAAACAACCCACCAAGAGAGCTTACTTTAATTAGTGCTATTTTACATTTGGAGAAACTGAGGCACAGAGAGATCTAATAACTCAGTAAGCCGCATAGCTAATGTCAAGAGTCCATGCTCAAACTCAGAAGCCTAGGTAGAGAATCAAAACTCTGAGGACCCTTGCTGAAAAGAGACCGAGCCACAGCATGTGGGTAAACCAAGTCCAGTGCCTATCTTCAGAATGATCCTTCAGGGGTGAGAAGCCCACCCTGGTGTCACTGCTACTTCTGTGCTCTCAGGTCCTCTCTCCACCCTCCTGGAGATGCACCCTGTACTACTTGTACCACACTTAGCTTAATGAAGTCTCCCAAGGGGCCTTGGAGGCCAGGGGTGCTGCAGGTCTCCCTCAAGAACAGCCATCCTGCTCTTCCCTCTGTGGGGTTCAGGGTTGAGGGTTTTCATCCCTCATCATGGGTTTCTGGCAGGACCTTCTGCATGCCTTCTTTCCTTCACCCCATCCTTCCTTCTACAGCCTCAGTCTTTGT